CTTCTTCTTCTTTTCAGTTGAGTGTATCTTTTTGATTCCATGTGTCTTGAAAAACTAGCAAACGAGCTTGAACTTTTTGTCTGTTTAATTGTTTCTTGAATGATGTGTCTAGGCAAGCTTCAATTCTGCTTATTGCATCATGGAACGAGCTTCGATATTTTGCTATCAAATTTACCCTTTTTATAAGGACTTTCATATTTTCTTATCAAATTGGTTGATTATTGTTAAAAATGTATAGTACTGCTTAATTTACCCTTCTTTTGAGGTCTTTGATATTCAGTTGATTTTCAAGTAATGAATTTTTTTTTTTTTTTTGTGTTTTTTAAATTGAGGTGCGACTCTTTGCAAATCTTTGTTATAGCATTCATTTCTTACAAATTGAAGAATTTTCAACTAATGCATTTTTCTTTTTTTTCAATTGATCAGGAAGTAGACTCAATCTGTCTTGTTCGGTGGGCTTCAAAGGATGTGCTTTCTACTTTCTAGTTTCTATCCTTGTGTGGATTTAAGTGTGATTGTTGTGCTTTCAATTTCATATTGTGTTTGTGTGGGAGAATAATTGTATTGAAAACGGGCTTCAAAGATTGTGCTTTCTACTCAATGTAAATGTACTTATAAAATATGTTGTCAATCCAATCTTTGTGATTTAAGCCTAAGCTGGAATTCTCACCCGGAACAATCAAATCAACAATTAATTCTCTTCTTCTGCTCTGTTAGTGTGATAGCTTCCTGTTCAACAGAACTACAGATGGCAAGAATTCAATTGTTTGATTTTAAAGGTTCAAAGAAATTTTGCAAGCCAAGCATAAAGGTTGAGGACTCTTTCTCGTTTTTGTAAGCACCCTGGTTGTAAACGAGCTTGAATTGTTTGATTGTTTCATGAATGATGTGTTTAGGCAAGCTTGAATTCTACTTATTGCATCACAGAATGAGCTTTGTTATTTTTTTTTTATCAAATTTACTCTTCATATAAGGTCTTTGAGAGTCGTATGCAAATCTTGCTTATTTATTTCGAGCTACAAACTGTTCTTTATAAAATTTCATTTTTTTGGTAAACACCATACACAAATTCATTTAGGGCTTCTTGAAGGAAGCATTCAACTATTTATATCATCGCCTTATTACTTCATCTGCTATATATATATATATATATATATACATCACTAGTAAACCTTATTCATGTTCTATGTATGTGTCTTAATCAACATGTATCATCACTCTTTTACTTGTTATGAGAAATCTTTCTGAAGAAGAGTGTAAAAGACAGTGGCCAGCTCTAAAGGATGCCATTAAGGGCACAGATGTTGTGTTGACATTGTTGACTGGTGCATTTTCTTGCAAACTGGAGAGAACTTTATTGGGTTTGGTTGTAATTGATGAAGCTGCTTAGACACTTAAGATAGCATGCTGGATAGCTCTACTAAAGGTAATGATGTGCAGAAAATATATGTAAAGCTCTTCCCCTCATAAAGTGATATTAGTTGCACTGCCATGCTTATTCATGTTTTGAAGGTGAAGTTGTATCATTGCAGGAGACCATCTTCAGCTTCCCTAAGAGGAAAGGGTTGGGAAGAACTTGTATGGAGATGAAATTAGATCTATGATCATTGTAATCAACTTTATTACAATCATTTACTGACGTAAGCTTATATGAAAACAATAATCCAAATTAATTTCTGTACAGCTCACATATTGTAGGATGAAGGATGCACTATACAGTCAAGGGTGTGTTGCCGATGTAGTTGCTGTTATGTTTGGAGAAAGACCGTCCATGGTCACCGGCTCCTTTAACTCCTATCTTGATTCCTCTCAGGTGTGTAATTATTTAGCAATCTTGATTTTGTCTAGTTCGGTTCTTTTGGCTTTGGTGTAAATAACAACCTACGCTATTTATCTTTGTTGAGAAACGGATAGCAATCTAGTTATGTTGCTTGGTGAAGTGCTAAAACTAACCATTGAGGTCTTCTACTTGTGCCTATG